CCTTGCTGGGTTTTTGCGTCGCCCGGTTTCGCCGGGCGGACCCCCCCAGGCCCAACCGGCCGGGGCCCGCCCGGCTGGACGGCGGCCCAGCCTAGCTTTTCCTTATTTTCTAGAATTATCTCCTCCTCTATGAGAGCCTTGTCTTTGTAAAATTGGTTGTCAATCAGTTTTTTGAACGAACTTTTTTTGTTTTTTTGTTTCTCTCTCTTGTCAATCATTTGTAACCTTGAGTGTAGCAGTAACTAGAGTTTTTTTTTTTTTTTTTTTTTTTTTTTTTTTTTTTTCCCCCGGAGTAACTACAGTTTGGCAACCGTCTGTAGCCTTTGTTAAACCCCTTTAGGGCTTATACCTTAGTGAGTAGTGACCCTTTTTTCTACTAGGGGCCCGACCGGACTTGTTTGAAGTGGGGGCTGTGGATGCAGTGTCGACACATGTGTTTATCCGATGTTTGGATCCTGACGATGCATTGACGCGTTTCTGAGTGTTTTCCGTGGGGGTTGTTCTTGTGTTTTTTTGTGCGGTCTTTTTTATCAGCAGATGGAAACGACAGACTATGAAGTTGCACAGAGGAAGCCTGTCAGAATCTCAGAATTTGACAAATTGCTGAAGGGATTCAATCATAAGGAGGCCCTCATTGCTGCTTTAGAATGTAAACATCCCGACGTAAGTATAAGTTCTGCTTAGTCCTGGTTTGCCTCTTTTCTGTGTTGTTTTCAAACACCCACCTCGCGTTTGTGACGGAGTTGGTTAGGACAGGGCCTCCTCCGACTTTGCAGTTGATCAATCAGTTGTAAGGTAAGGTGACTTTTCAGAATGATCTTAGTCTCTCATTCTGATAGTATCTGGATTCGAACTTGAGTCTGTAGTAGTTCAACAGTTCGTGGGTGTACCAACTGAGCGAGCTCCATGGGCTTTTCAGTTGATCCGTCTTAAGGTCTATTTGGTAGCCACAGTTTACCCACAGTTTACCCACAGTTTACCCACAGTTTACCCACAGTTTTACCCACAGTTTACCCACAGTTCAGTAGTTTACCCACAGTTCAGTAGTTTACCCACAGTTTACCC